TGATATGTATGACTGAATGTATGTGTTTGTTATGGAAACAAACGTCACGAATGCAGCTCAACCAGTTGAGCAAGGTTGCTACTCCAGTCACAAAATGATCTGGGTCAGACAAACTCAAGTACTAACCTCTGAAGTACAAAATCAGATATTTTACAGTTAACTTATTCTTAACTCATTCTGCTGAAAATATGCTCTCCAAAGCTGTGACCATGTTTGTCAGAAAATATTTCTCACAGCCTGTGAGGGATTAAATTACCAAAGCAAACTTAATATCCTCAAGATTGCACCACAACAGCTTATTTTTGGCTTCTCTGTGACGTATTTCCTTCGTTTATTACAAATAACCACAGCTCTTTCTTAAATAAAAGTCCAGTTGTTAGTTTAAACCACTTGGGGGCATGCAGAAAGACACGTGACGTGTCCTCATGTTTGATTTAGGTGGAAGAGACGTGGTGTTTCAAACATTGTGTTTTGCATGGACTCCAGGAGGATTAGCCTTTGCTTTGTAGAAGTTAATAAGGGCTTTAAAATATATTACAGGAAATAAAACCGGCTGTTTAATCATAAATTCTGATCTCCAGCTGCCAGTAGTTCAGCCACTTGCTGCTTTTGCACCTCTGCACAGATACTTATGATGATAACTCAATACAAATTGTGTCAGTTGCAGTAACATGAAAAACTCCATTCAGAAATGCACTTTTAAAAGTCTGTCACATGACTGTTTCCAAAATACAGACCATGAAAGTCACCCCACTGGGGGTTGCTCAACAGTTATAATAAAGACCATAATAAACAGTGTATTCAGATTATATTGCAAATATATCCAGTATCAACATCGTAGATATCAGATAAGTCAGCCAACTCAGGGTTGTGGCTGTATAACTGAAAACATGTCGTCAGTGACTCTGTGGGAGTTTTAACAACCTGAGAAAATGTTTACTTTCTAAAAGTACAGGCATATATTACTCTCTGTCTTTGTTTAAGGTTGATTCTGACATTTAATATTCTGAGGCAATATTCTTAAATGTGACCGGTATGCCATGAGCAGTCAAATTTAACTATCACTAATTATTTGTTTAGGGGATTAGTGTATTGTGGGAATATGAACTAATGACCTCAGTATTTCTCAAATGTGCCATTTACATGCATGTTTACTGCTACTTACATGCAGTTTTACTTTCTCTGAACAATGTTAATAGTGTTTTTGGATGGCCTTGTCATTGAATAGCATAAATACAGTATGTGCTCGGGTCATCATCCCCACCATGATACTAAATCTGTGGATTCGCTGGATTAAATAAATGTCCATTTATGAAATGGAGCAAATATTATCAGTTATTACAAATTATAAACAATGGTATTCAAACACCACAGAAACCTTATGTTAAAAGAAATATTTTGACCATACCAGCGAACCATACAGGCGTATATTAATAGTCCAGATCTACACAGATGCATCAAAGAGTTTAGTTAATAAAATAGAAGAAGCATTTATTGTTCCAGCGTTTCATATAGGGATGGGGAGAAGGATCAGTGATGAACAGTTTACACAGGAGAAATGCTCACTATTTTGTTAGAAGTGCAGTAGATAGAGGAAACATGAAATTTGTTCAAACTCAATTTCATTGCTAGTCAGTTTACACAACAGTCATTCAGACAGCAGATCAGACATTTTGACAGAAGTACAAGAAACATTATTCAGAGTTTAAATAATAGGTCTTACAGTCATATATTTGGGTACCAGCACATAGCCTATTTGCATCAAAGGAAATGAAATGGCAGATAAGGTTGTAAAGGAGGCTACAAAAAGTGATTACATTGAGGTGGCAATTAGCTTCAGTAAAACAGAAATTAAGAGCATTATTAAAGGCTAAATGTGGGAAAAGCAATGGGAGGAAGAGAGGAAAGGATGATGGTTTTACAGAGTTCAGAGGAAAGTGGGAGAAATGAGATGTGCAGGAAGGAACAGGAGAAATGAGACAATCATATCAAGACTCACATTTGGACACACTGGACTAAAATTATAAAATTATACTTATTATAAATTATTTAAAATAATTAAACATTATTCAGGCAGTTGTGACTACACTATGGGGTCCAGAACTCAGTCCAGAACTGAAGAAGTCCTTTGGATGAGGGACGAAACGTCTTCCAGTATCTTCAACCAAGTCCAGTTGCCCTTGATTTTAACCTTCGTTGGATAACTATGACCTGGATGACTGAGAATCTTCATAGATATCTTGCTTATCATTTTGGGATGAACACCCTCAGATTGGTACGGGAGTATGAAAGGACAGCCAGGAAAATTGCAGACTACAGGAACCATCTACGATTCAACCTGAGATGCCGACAACACAAACTTATTCCCAACAGCCTACATTTAGGCTCCACGGTAAAAGGACACAGAGCCGGAATAATCCTGGAGAAAGCACAACACCAGCTACTGAACGAGAGAGTGAGACAGATACACTTCACAATTTAACAGCGTGTTAACACTTCGACAAAAGAAGCCCTGAACAAAGAAATGGACAACATACACCACATACTAGAAACATATCTGCCCAGTACAGCACTGGGAAAGGTCATGGACTTCATCAAGAAAGCACAGCTATCCCAGCACAACAAGAGCAAAGAAAGACAGACCCGGAAATTCCAAAACCTACAGTCCAGAGCGAGCTGCACCAACAGAGCAGGAGAATTGTCTTGGAGGAGAAAGGACAACAACCCCACAACACTTGAAACAGACAACAGATGGGTGAAAAACCTGTCAGATAGGGAACTCACCCAACCAGAGAAAGACGTTCTGGCCAAAGGATTAAACTTCGCCATTACACCACAGCAACTACCTATAGTAGACCTCATCACAGCCACAGAATCGGCCATTAGGAAAAACAAATTAACAGAAACAGAAGCGGAACAGCTCAGACTAAAGGTATCTGCAGCCCTTTCTAATGCGAAGGCCCCCCCTTCCAACCTCACCATCCAAGAAAGGAAGGCTGTGACATCTCTGAGCAAGGATCAAAACATCACTATCCTACCTGCTGACAAAGGAAGATGCACGGTAGTACTTAACACAGCTGACTACCAGAACAAAGTCAACACACTACTAATGGACACAAACACGTATGAGACACTGAGACGAGACCCAACCAGCGGATACAAGAAAAAAGGCCATAATATGTCTACAACAGTTACAGAAGGACGACACCATCACCCGTGAACAATATTACCGTTTGTATCCTGGAGAAGCCATTCCATGCAAGCCTTCACAGAACACATCAACACTGTGGACAGTAATATCCAGTTCACACGAGAAGATGTTCACAACAACAGTTTGGCCTTCCTGGACTGCGCTGTACACATTGAAGAGGACAGGAGCCTGCAGATTGGTGTTTACAGAAAACCCACACACACAGACCAATACCTACTGTTCGATTCCCACCACCCACTGGAGCACAAGCTAGGGGTCATGAGAACACTGCACCACAGAGCAGAAAACATACCAACAAGCGCCCAAGCCAGAGAGAAGGAACAGAACCACCTGAAGGGGGCACTTACAGCCTGTGGATACCCTAAATGGACCTTTGTGAAAACAGCCACAAGATCCAAGAAGAACAAAACTACAGGGAAAGAGGAAAAGAAGGTCAAACGCAACAACATTGTGATTCCATACGTGTCTGGAGTATCAGAGAAACTCAGGAGGATTTTCAACAAACATAACATCCCTGTGTTTTTTAAACCCAAGAACACACTAAGACAGATGCTGGTACACCCCAAAGACCGCACACCCAAACACAAGAAAGGCAATCTAGTGTATGCGGTCCAATGCAGTGAGGAATGCACAGACCTGTATATTGGGGAGACTAAACAACCACTACACAAACGCATGGTTCAACACAGAAGGGCCAACTCCTCAGGTCAAGACTCTGCAGTCTACTTACATCTGAAGGACAGAGGACACTCGTTTGAGGACCACCAGGTGCACATTTTAGACAGAGAAGATGGATGGTTTGAAAGAGGTGTCAAGGAAGCCATCTACACAAGGGTTGAGAAGCCGTCATTGAACAGAGGAGGGGGTCTACGCCACCACTTATCCCCCACTTACTGTCCTTTCATCACTTCCCAGGAAACTCAACAAACGTAACCTATTGGCCTCAGGTGAAGATACCAACGATGGTCGTTCAGTCTTGGCCACAGGTAGTCTTAACGACTGTAACGACTGTCGTCACAGCAACAAGGAACACTAACGAACCAGCGGTATCGATGACCCGGGCCAACGACCCCACTGAGGTTAAATAGCTGAGTTTCCCTGCCAGTCAGTCAGAACTGAAGAAGTCCTTTGGATGAGGGACGAAACGTCTTCCAGTATCTTCAACCAAGTCCAGTTGCCCTTGATTTTAACCTTTGTTGGATAACTAAGACCTGGATGACTGAGAATCTTCATAGACATATGGGGTAGTGATGGTGCAGTGGATAACATGCCTTTGGTGTGAGAGACCCGGGTTCAATTCCCCACTGTGACACACACATCAATGTGTCCCTGACCAAGACACCAAACCCCTAGCTGCTCCAGAGCCGTGCAACCTCTGACATGTGTAGCAATTGTAAGTCGCTTTGGATAAAAGCATTAGCTAAATGAATAAATGTAAATTTACTGTGCAAGAATAAAAAGCATGTTATGTTACACCCTCAGAAATGAGGAAAAAAGAAGGCAGATGATTCAAAACCTCAGAACGATGAAAGTACATTAGTAGATTTAATAGATATTCTGCAAAGAACTCAAGAGTTGAGTGTTATCTAATCTTATTTCATTATCTTACTAATTTTATTTATTTATTTATTGTTTGCCATTCTGATCCAAACTCCATACCAGTTGGTGGCGGTAATGCACGGCCAACAAACTCAAAAAGAGGAGGAGGAAGAAGAAGAAGACGACGACGACGTTCTCGGGTTGTAGCGCCCTCTGCCGCTCACCATCTGACATACCTGTAATCTCAAAGATGGCGGCGTTAGCTGGTAAGTGATGTTGTGACTAAAATTAAACGCTTTTTGTAAACAGTACAGTGTTTTCAGGCTTATTTTATTTGCAGAATTTAAAAAGTAAGCATATAAATGTGCACCACCTAGCGCTTTGACTGTGTCAGCAATCGGATTTATAACTTTTAGTGAATGCTCACACTGACCTTGCTCCGTCTGCGTTAGCATGGAGGCTAACCAGGTTAGCTAACAGTACATGAACTCCAGCTGCAGTTCTAGTTGTCGTTAGCGAACACTAACGTTATTTAACATACGTAACAATACATGTAATTTTAAAACTAACCGGGTGACTGTTTAGTAAAGTTTCATTTATACTGTGGGTGGACTACCACGTCTGGTATGTGGCTTTCTCCACTGCGTGTCATCCACTGTGGGTACGATTATCAAACCAATCTCCTCGTGAAAACTCTGCCAGTTAGGTGTTCTCACCTGTAATGTTATTTGTGAACATTATACCGCGTGAAGTGTCCCTTTTACAAATCGCGAGCGCTACTCGTCAATTCGTCATGCTCTAAACACACCATGCAGCACAATACTAAAAAATAAAGCCCATATAAGGGTTGGCTATACTGTAAGTTACAAAACAAATTAAAATGGGGTAACATGTAGCATTCAATTGTAAATATTTTTATTATTCTGAGAACAGCAGAAGTTGTGGGGCCACAATGTCCAGTGTTTGCTGTTAGGTAATCTCACCAGGATTACAATTTTTGTCCATCACAAATGGGCAAAAATGCTACTTGCTACATATGGATGTAGGCTGTCACACCTGAATGCACTGTTTAAACAAGGCCACACTTTGTTCAGTGAATGGACAATACAGCCGATAAAACATCTGAAATACTTACAATATATGACTGTTATTATAAAATGTCTTCAGTTTGTTAAATGCTTTTATTTTGCAGCGCCTCGCCTGGCCATGTTTGGCTGCTTTTCAACAAGGTAAGAACCTTTAATCCTGTTCCATGTTTCGAAACTTAATTTAAACCAGCTCTGTCCAGCTGATCCTTCGACTGCTTGAGTATTATACCCTTTATAGATGTGGAGATGGTCTTTCATACCCACATTAATCACTCGGTAAAGGTGCAACTAATTGAATTCAACCTTTATTTTGTAATTTTTTTGTCAATTTCTCAGTTATGTTTTTGAGGTCAGATTATCTCCCTTTAAAGAGAATAGGACTCCGAAGAAATCCTCACTCAAAAGCAAGTACTGAAACATTTGCTGTGCTTGACAGGCTGTGCAGTCTTGCTTTTGGCAGCAGGAGCATTCAGCCTGTATGCTGCTCAGAGGAATGGTCAAGTTAATCCTTTAAAGCATCATCAAGTTTATGAAGCTCAGACAAAATCATTGTCTCCCACAATAAAGTCTCCCCATCTGTCCATCACACACATTACCTGGAAATGCTGAAATGTCACACTGTAGTATTACAACATTGTCTTCATGTGGAACTGACTGTTTGTGGGCATTCCATTATTTCACTGACCTTATCCATTCATTTTTATAACTCAGCTTTTTTTGTTGTTACTGTGGTTTCTCGCTCTGACTTGCTGTCCATCCAACAGGCCCATTTCATTCTTTGCTGTTCAACAGAAGAGTCTGCATAGCGGTGCAAAAAGCGAGAATACCACCACAAGGTGACTTTTCGAAAGATTCTCTGGTGTAAATATTGGAATGAAGAACAGACACACAGTAAACAGTCTGCACATGGTAAAGATCCCCTCCATCCTTCTGTTGCAGTGTGGTTCCAGTCAGAGAGAAGAGCACGGCAGTGGCAGCAGCCAAACCAGCGTCTGTAGCCAGCAGCAAGGGGGAGTATGTTATCACTAAGCTGGACGACTTGGTTAACTGGGCACGCAGGGTGAGTAGATGTTGCTGTGTTAACACCCACATACAGTGTACGTTGAGAGAATTTGACTGTTTTGTGTTGGTCTAAAATGTCACATGGTTGGTGATGTTGCCTTTTGTAAATGGATCTCTGTCGTTTATTTAAATGGCCACTGTTCCATCTTTTAGTCATCTGAAGACTCATCTTTCTGAGCCTGTTAAGTGTCTGAACCTTCTACCTACTCACTTTATTTTTATTGTTTTACTATGTTCACCAATAATTGTAGAAAAAGTATTTAATATATAAATAGCTTGCTGGTGTAGTTTATTAGTCACACCATGAATTAAGGCAACAAATACAAAGGCAGCTACATATGTGAGTCATATTGAGTTGAATACCACTAAACGGTTAAGTTTTCAAGGCAACAAAAGTCAAATTAGAGAGGTGTCAACAAGCCAGAGAGTTGTTGCCTGAATTTATGTGGCTGTGAGTGAAAACACAGCATAACTATGTCATTTAGCAACAAGCAAAATCTTATGAATGTTGACAACATGCCAAACACAGGTTTCTAAGTGGTCTCTAAGTGAAACACTGACTGACAGGCAGTTATGGGGTATTTCCTTAACAACACCATACAATTGCTTCAGTCTCAATAAAACTGAACTTGACCCTCAAGCTGTTATTTACTGTTAGTCTGCTGTGTTTTCATGTGTTATTTTGTCAATGCCCTGTATTCCTAAGAAACAAGCTTAAAAAACCCAACTAATTTCACAATCTGCCAAATATCAGCAGAGAGAACAATGTGAAATCGCCAATATATATTGACATTGCCTCTTAAAGCAGATAAATTGATGCATCTCTAATCTACATGTGCTCTTGAACTGATTGAGCAATGAGTTGAAGAAAGTGATGCTGTGTTTTTGTATAGCTGTGTGAATGTGTCTGCTCAGTTAGTGTTTTGTTGACTTGTCATGTCTCTGCTGTTCCCCTCAGAGCTCTCTGTGGCCTATGACCTTTGGCCTGGCATGCTGCGCGGTGGAGATGATGCACATGGCGGCCCCTCGTTACGACATGGACCGCTTTGGAGTGGTGTTCAGAGCAAGTCCCCGACAGGCTGATGTCATGATTGTGGCTGGAACGCTGACTAATAAGATGGCTCCGGCTCTGCGGAAGGTGCGGGAGGGAAAGGGTGTAGTGTGACCGGAGCGATGGTGCTATCAGCATCTTACATTTAAGTATAATTCAGCTAATGACACTCCAAACAACCCCTTTAGCTACTTCGCATTTGAAGTGGTACCAGTACCTGGAATTCGGTAGTTAAATAAATAAACAAATAAATAAAGGATATTGTAATTCACAACTTAAACAAAGTATAAAACTAACTACTTGAGCAGTGAATATAATATGAGACGAGCCAGCTCGTGCATTTTTTCTCCACATGAGTTGGCCATGCACACTTCACGCGCTGACTGAACGTTGTGTTGATGTGTATGTGCATGCGACCAGTCACGTGATGACAGACAGAGATAATACCATCAGGTTAAAAGCAGGCAGGGGGCAGATGGTCTACAGCTCTGAGTGACTGTGGCTGCCTAGTGGCACAGACTCAACCTTTACATTCACATTTGCCAAGAGTCTGGATGTCATATTTTCCTCGCACGGGGACACTGCAGCGAGAGAGTGAGACGCGCCTGATGCATGGATTGTCCTTCTTGCTAGATTATGTAGTCTTAGTCTCTCTCTGTCTCTACTTTACTGCTATCACCCAGATGCACTCTCAGGTACTAAAATTTGGCGCAGATTGATTTTACGTGAATCGGTACTCGGTAGTGCCGATGTAATTCATTTGGTACCTACCCTAAATGCTGTCTCAAGTTTGATTCAGGTTTGTGAAATTAAGAAACAATGGTGGAAGTCCTGTTTTTCTGCTCTGCTTGCAGACATTTTCAGTTGCAAGTGCTCTCTCTCTGACTTTTCTGTCTGCAGGATGGGAGCACTGAGAACAGTAGAGCTGTTTTAAATGCTGGATGGATTATGACCAGCCTGTCGGTGGATTGGTAGACTGGCATGGAGCTGTCCTCCAGCTGAAAGGACAGATTAGTTGTTAGTCAGACATTATATAAGGGTGACTGAACTGCGTCTTCTTGCCAACAGGTGTACGACCAGATGCCTGAGCCCAGATACGTCATTTCCATGGGAAGGTAAGTTAACTCCTGAAGAGATTTATATGCTAGCAGTGTAGTCTGTCCTGTATCTGCAAAGTCTCCACAGCTGATCTGATACTAATATTTACTGTGTTACTCAGTGTTTAGCTTTGTTTCACCCAGTATTGTTTGACTCGTGTCTTTCATTGTAGCTGTGGTGTGCTGCAAGCCACTACCATGTTTAGGGTTAGGGTCTAAACCTTTACAAGTAAGTGTCTTAGGAAGTAAACGTGTGCTGATAATTTTCCTCTTCCAGCTGTGCTAATGGAGGAGGCTACTACCACTACTCATACGCTGTCGTCAGAGGTTGTGACCGAATTGTACCAGTGGACATTTATGTTCCAGGTAAACTTTACTGCACAATATGGGAATGATAAAATGTACAAAATCTCTATAGCAATAAAAAATACCGTTCATTAAAATTAGAACATATCAAACATACCCTTTATGGGGGGGTCCCTGCAGCCAGGTTATACAATCTTGTGTGAAAGCCTTCACTGAACAGACTGTTATAACAGCAGATTAAAGCCTGTGGTTTTAGAAAGAGATGTTCACTAATCGCATAAAAGTGGAATGTTTGGGAGTCCACACACTTTTAGTCATGTAGGATGAGTCCAGACAAGTTCCAGAAGATCGTCCCTTCTGCTGCCGCCCCATTGGACCTTTGGGGAAAAATATGTACTGTAGTCAATGGCAAGAGACAACTAATTATTTGATCTTGTTTAAACTGTACCCTGAATAACACATGTAAATTTGCAAGTCAAGAAAGTTGCAGTATAAGAATTGAAAATAGTTGATTAGAAAGATCACAAACCCAGAAGTTTCATATTTGATGTCATAACTTACAGGAGCTAACGTTACTGAAGTCAACATCATTAGGTGAGACGTTAGCTAGCATTACCACTTTCACATGTTGGTGATGTATGGGGTGTTGATGGTGCAATGGATGAGACACATGCCTTTGGTGTGAGAGACCCGGGTTCAATCCCCCAGTGCGACCCATCCACCATTGTGTCCATGAACAAGAGATTTAACCCGTTGTTGCTCCAGAGGCGTGCGACTTCTGACACAAATAGCAATTGTAAGTCGCTTTGGATAAAAGCGTCAGCTAAATGTTATTTTATTGTTTTGTGACTTTCTTGACGGACAAATTTATCTTTTAAATTGATAACCCTCAACTACCTATTTTGTTTGTTTTTTCAAAATAAGTTCCCATGGAGGAAGGGGGAGGATCTCTGTTCAGGATCATGTTTAGGAACAGTTGTTGTACAATTTAACAGTAGTAGTAGGTTATAACTATGAGTTCTTGTAATTGTATTATTATTATTGGTAATAGATGTAATGTAGCAGTAGTAGATTTATTAGACACTTGAATTAGAAATAAAAAGATGGTAATATTAGTTGTGCTGGAAGTTAATTTAGCATTATCTTGTCACTATGAGGCAAAATTCAACAGCCTTCATACTGCATATTGTACAGTCATTATTTTGTGGTATCGTGCAGGCTGATAGGATCAATGTGCAGGCTGATAGGATCAATATGCGGCATCAGTAGCCAAATATATAGATGAATTACCAGAGTATGAAATGAAATGCTGTTCATTAGTCACACTGAATTTCAGAGTTGCTCTGTCCTCAGGTTGTCCCCCCACTGCAGAGGCTCTCCTTTACGGGACTTTACAGCTGCAGAAGAAAATCAAGCGTGAGAAGAGGATGAGGATCTGGTATCGGAAGTGAATGTGTTATGTGTGTGTGTATCTGGCATGTAAATGTTGTATTTCAGGTTTAATTTGGAGCGCTGCTCCTCGTCCATGTAGAGCTGCAGAGACTAACCTCAATAAAATCATTGTTGTAATTTACTCAGTACACCGCTGCTTATTTTCAACCAAACAGCAGCAGTCACTCAGTTCACTTTTTCTGCTTCTTTAGTTCAGTATTAATATCTGAAGACTGTTTCTGTAACAGGAAAAACAACAAGATTTGTCAGAATTTAAACCAGTTTAAATTATAATTTATTTTTATTCAAGTAGCCGTGTTAATTATTTTCGTCTTTTTAATCTCAACCTCTCAGTTAGTCATGACCATAAGATAAGAGTCATCCTATATCATCTTAAATATTTTGTTGAATAAACTGGGCTCGCATTACTTTAACATCAGGTGTCGTTCATTCTACTGTGACTATTGAAGCCAAACCACTAGGGGGCTCCTGTGATCAACTCTGACCTTCAGTGGTCTGTGTCAACAGTAATGGTTAGAAGCAAATTAGTATTTATTATGTGTTAACTGTTTATTTACTCAGTCTGCTAAAACACTGTACCAACCCACAAACAACAAATACCACAGTACCAAGTCAAAGGTGAATTTCATTCAATGGATATTCAGATGGAACTGTAAACCAGCTACTGTGGTTATGTATGCAGAGAGAAAGCAGAGCTGGTTTATGTTTCTTCAGGGTGAATCAACAGACTCAAAGGTACAGTCCTCTCTGCTGTTGAAGCGTTCTTTTGGACACTTCTTGCCTATAAGTTGCTTTGAATAACAATGTGCTTTGGTGCCGTGATGGCTGTGCAGTACCAAGAAGATTAAAATGAAACCGTGTACTGTTGACATTGACCATCCACACGTTAAATATTGATTATGTTTAAAACTGCATCTAAGTAATGTATACCCAGTTACTGGGATTCTTATACACATTAAAACAGTCAGTCGTATACAGTATCTACTTTATTTTGAAGATGTTTCTGTCTCATTGGGTGCCAATTTTGATATTTTAGAGAAAAGTAAACCGATAATGATTTTAACAAAATACTTTGAATAAGAATCCCGTAAATTGAAAAGGAATTGTGACTGAGAGATATTCTCAGTGGGACATTTTACAGGTGAAAATAAACTTGTCCGTGCTCTCGGGTGACGAACTATGCAGTGGTGACATTTTCTAAATGACCTCAAACATATCTTTGGCATTTCAACACTACAATTTCCAATATTTGACAAACATATTTGCTGATACGGATACATCTGAAAACTTATGAACTAAGATAGGGATACTTTGATACAAAAATTCCAACAGTGTGGCTTCACTTTACCATTTTGTTTGTTTTTCTTGTACCATTTTATATTCTCCGAGATATATATATATTTATCATAAGCTAAAATCTTCTGGTAGTATCGGCCATGCTGATGTATTGATCGGGCTTTAAGACACACAGCATGCCAAGCGACACTTAAGACAGAAACGCTTCTTTATCACAACAGAACAAATCAAGATATTGCTGCTAATGTATCACAAAAGACTTATGTTGCATATGAAATATTTGCCCCACCCCTAAAGGTGACTAAGTAAGGAGAAGGACTGTGGGGTGTCAACTATTTTCATTATAAATTTATTGGCTGATTAATTTGATTAATCAGTTTTGAATTTAGTCTATACAAGCTTTAAAAAAATGTTAAACATGCCTATTATTACTTCCCAAACCTCAGGAGACATGCTATCATCCATTGCTTTATCTGACCAACATAAAACCTTAAAGATATTAAGTTTACTGCCAGATATGAGAAAGAAAAGAAGGTAAAAGAAGGAAAATCCTCACATTTGAGAAGCTGAAACCAGACAGTGTTTGGAGTTTCTGCTTGTCTGATGGACTAATTGTTTAAGTGAATTCTTGCTGTCTTAGTTTCTTTTGCCTCTTTATATTTCTCAGTATAAGAGTGTTGACTTAACTGCTTAAAACATGAATCGTGATTCAGATCTCAGCTCTGCCAGCTGCTGTAGTTTCCCACCTGACTGCAGCCTGGTGTTGCATCATCTGACCATCCAATGATTAATGTGCACTCGCCAGGTGGTGACTTATTCCCACATGTTGAGATAACACACACTGTTATCTGCGGCTGTAAATGAAAACATACTGTACTCTGTGTCCATCTCAGTCTACTGGGTAACAGCTGATTTATTGTTTTATTGCTTTTCATTATGAGGGAAAGCTGAACATTAAACATGTCTTTAAGACACCAGAGTATTATGCATATTATTGCATATTGCTCATTCTCACTTTACTGTATCATAAAATAAATCTAATTAAAGGTTTTTAATTTGAAAACTGAGCAACCTGCTCGTTTTCTTCATGCTTATTTGAAAAAAATTCACTCAATTTAGTACACTAAATTTGGAAAAGCATACTCCTCACATGCATGCCGCTGAGCAATTTTGCATTTCATAGACAAATTCCCACAGGACTAACACAAATCTGCAGTGTTGAACAGTGAGAAAAGAGATGATGTCTGAATCTTAGACTATACGGTCTGAAGTTCATGACAAAGCAAGCATTTAAACATGCTGCAATAAATCTACTGCTTGGTCTAAATTTGGGTTATGCAAGAAAACATACTGGGTGATTTAAGACTTAAAACAGATGAGGCTCGGTGGGGTGTAAGTGCATTTATGGTGGTTTCTTGTGGTTTCAGTCTGCTGTTGTCTCACATATTTGCTGCTGTGAAGAATAAAATGTATCAGTAGATATATGTAGCACAGTCTGCTTGGAGGGAGCGCCTACACGACCTTAATAAACACCAAAACTTCAACTCGGATCAAGAAGTTAGTCTGTAAATAGCTTGAAATATTGAAATTTAAACCACAAAATGAATGTATAATGAATACATGCACCTTGTAAACTGAGTTTGGATGGACTTGGCTTTATTGAAAGATGGCAAACACTGAAATAAACAGACTGAGGAGGTCAGGAAGGTCAAATGAGAAGGCACATTATAGTAAAAATAAAAAAGTTGCAGCAGTGTCTTCGGACTTTACTCCTTGATGATGGTGGGTGTGATCATCTTATTGAAGGAATAGTATTTGCATTCGCTGGGTGGTGCAATGTCCATGGTGGTGGTGCTAATTTTCTCCTTCTTGAAGCCGGCTTGCAGCAGATGAGGCACCTGGGTCTCCTGAAAATCATTAACAGGTCAGTGTGAGGTGGCTCATGGCTTTATCAGACCCACCAGCCTGATCTTGTTTATCATTAACCATGAAACTACCGCAGCACGTAATTCAGGACGCCCTCAGCTCAATCAAGTGACTGAACTACTGATAGGTATTATGACGTTTACTCTTCTTTGCAAGACACTGTTCACTGCAACATGTCACTAAAACTCTCCACTGAAATCAAACATTTTAGGGATGTAAGTCTTCAAATAAAAATATGTACCTTTCATCCTGATCTGATCTTTACAAAAAATTGTGGTTGAAATAACTTTAATGACAATAGCTGTGTCCCTATTCTACACTACAAACTAATTTAAAGCAGGTTTTAAATGACAAATTTACTCAAAAAAGACAGAATGAATACAAAAAAAAATACATAGCGTCATACACAGCTAAAATAAAAATAAAATATGCATGAATAAAAAAAACAACATGTTTACAAACTTGCACTGAATGAGGTAGTATATCTCAGGTATTTGTACTAGTAGTAGGGCTGTACAAATGGAATTGTAAACATGACAGTAGTGCAAAAAGAGTCATTAAAGTGCAGAAACAGAGAGGGGAGAGATCAGGATGGGAGTGTTGGTCGTGGAGTGAACAAGGGAGGAGTGTGTATGTGTGTGTGGTGCTGGGTTCAGGGGGCTTTACTTGAAGGGGTGGGGGTTGTAAATGGGTGAGTAGATTTCAGAGGTAGCCATATTCAGATAGGAGAAGAAGCTGTTTCTGAACCTGGTAGTGTGATCTCTTAGGCTCCAACAGTGCACATATTGTAAAATTAAAGTTATTATAACATGGTAAAATTATGTTGTTTTATTTGTTGTTTGCTAAATGCAAAAAGCAGCATACAATAAAGGATATTATAAAGTACATAATGTATACAATTACTGTAGTATGAAATTGGAACCCATAACCTGTAACAGTAAAGTATAAATAAAACCGTTTTTCCTTGAGGAAGTAATGAAGGTGACCAACCTCAAACATCTTGTCAATGTTGCTGTATTTGTTCTTGAGCAGCTCGCCCCAGGAGGTCAGGTTGCAGTAGGTGAGGACCCCGCCAGTCTTCAGCAGCCTGTGAGCGTGACCCTGCAAACAAACACCACCACATCAAATCAGTCCTTTAGCTCTGTCTGGATATCTTTGCACTAAAGTCATTAATACGGTTTGTTGATACATGTTTTGTACTATTATTCAGTATCTTTTTTTCCCCACTTTTCATGCGAACAAATCCAAGTATTCAGTGTTTATCATCCTCCATAATTGTAATCTTTTCAGGACTCCTGCTGCCCTACACAGCAGGGTTGAGTGTAACTTATTAGGGTGTTGTGTTTGGATTTTAACTACCTACCTTAATGAAGTCAAACTGGTGAGTGTGCCACGTTTCCTCTGACAGGGGGTATGTGTCATACAGGATACCTGAGAGAAGAGGGACATCAGTTTTAGCAGTGTGCATACAATAAGTAAATTAATCAGTTTTCCACACATTTTATTAAGTGGCTCAAAGAGTGTTCATCTCAGACACCGGTGGTTGAAACATTGAGGAACCTTGAATGGATAGCGCATCCTCATACCAAGTTTTAACAATCAATAACTTTAAACTAAGCGTCCAAACTAGGTTGCAGTAATGCTTTCACCCTGTCAAGGTAAACAATTCTCCACTCGTCAGATTTGACAAAGCGTAAAGGGAAGACACTGTTTGACAGTACTGTGGTGTTTAGCCTACGGAAATATTTTGTTATTTACACCAACTGTGTGCTCCAATATAACTATAAACTCAGGTGCATCAAGCTAAACTGTGTGCTGAATATCTCCACATGTGACATTGTCACATGTGTGAAATTTCCCCATGCCTGGTTTGATTTCTTACCATCGAAGTGGTTGTCTGGCAGGGTGGGAACAACGTTCTCCCAGAGGCCCTTCAGTGGGACGACCTGCAGCAACATAAACACCAATCTCATTCATCCGCATCTTCACATTTAACAGTAAAACGAGACCTGTGCACATGTTCCAGTAATCCAACAAGATAACACTGGCATGATGATTCATCTGTGGGGTCTACTGGCCTTATGTGGCTGAGACTTGGCCCAGTTCTCCAGTCTGGCGAAGACGCCGTCGTTGCACTCGATGATCCAGTGCTCCTCAATGGGGAAAGACTCAATTTTAGTGGCGGCGATG